ATTCCCATGCCTGGGTTGCCAACCAGGTCCCTGTTTGGGGGCGTATGAAAGCCAACTGACCCATATTTCTTTTGCATGGATGTTTCTCTCCCTCGCTTTCTCCCTCCCTTCTCCTCTAAAAAATAAAATCTTTAAAAAATATATTATGATAAAAAGAGAGGACAGGAGCCCTGACTGCTATGGCTCAGTTGGTTGGGCATCATCCTGCAAAGGAAAGATCAACTCATTCCTGGTCAGGGCACATGCCTGGATTGCTGGTTTGGTCCCCAGTCGTGGTGTGTGGGAGTGGCAACTGACTGATGTTTCTCACATCGAAGTTTCTTACCCTATCTTTCTCCTTCCCTTCCTCTCTAACAATAAAAAATTAAAATCTTAAAAAAAAAAAAAGAAGAGGGTGGGAACCACTGTGCTCACAGCACTTTGCACACAGGAAAGAAGAGCAACCCTGGGAAATGAGAACTGGTAAAGACTTTTGAGACTCACCCCACTGGAAACTTTAGTCTGCATTTTAAAACCTCTTTCCTTACCTTTGGAGATGTTGTATCCTTTTCCTAAAGAACTAACATATATTCTTTAGGTTTTCCTCCCCACAAGGTACTTACTACCAATTACCAAAGCAAAAGCTTACTAATATTTTACCTAGATATAGTTTGGACTAAGAGCCACATTGCTTCCACTACAGAAAAAGGTGGCAGAGCTAAATTTACAAGATCTCATTCTTCAAAGGCCTGCTTGGTCCACACGAATCTTACATGGACCTTCCTGAAATTCAGTAATAACATCACCAGACAAGAAGTGACAACTACAGCAGGCGAGGGGCTCCTTCTCAGGCTTTCTTCCGACATAAGCCTCTCCCCACCGCCCCCCCCCCCCGCCGGCCATCCCAGGAGAGCAGGGAGTTCAGTTGTGCAGACCGCCCCTTCCAGAGCACTGCTCTTCCTTCAGATCCCTGACATGAAAAGACACCATCATTTTTTAATAGCTTACGGGAAGGAACTTTACTTCCATTAGTTTGATACAGTATCACAAAACTGTTTCAATAAGTTTCAACATTGTGTAAACACTGGAAGAGAATTTATCTGAGAGGAAGTGGGTCCATTCTCCAAGTTGGCTAATCAGCTGTAAGCTGAATTTAAGAGAAGTATTTGGTGATTGGGTACAAAGCCCAAGGATAATATTAATAATAATATTGTGGGCAGAAATGATGTGGACAAAAGAAGGCAGAATATATTCACTCAGAATTGGAAGGCCAGGAGAATTGGAGGCAAAAGAACTCTATTAAAGAATTCTCACCTTACTCAGAGATTGGAACTGATTGAAAGGAAGTGAGGGAAGAAAGGAATAAAGAACACCTGGGTAAAACGGCAGTTGTTGAACTGTAGTTGAAAAAGAAAATAAATTCCGTAAAATATACAGGCGAACCTCACAGGTTATGGGTGTGAAGAAAAGAAACAAGAGGTAACCTTTCAGCTGGAACCACCATCTTCCATTAATTTGCCAAAAAGACTAACACCGAGGGAAAGAGAGGTGCCCGCTAAATGTTCTTTAGGCCTTTTAGAAAGCATCGTTTCTTTGGTCACATATGTGGGAATCTACAAGAAAGGTGATATTGTAGACATCCAGGGAATGGGCTCTGTTCAAAAAGGAATGCCCGCAAATGTTACCATGGCAAAACTAGAAGAGTCTCCAATGTCACCCAGCATGCAGTAGGCATTGTTGTAAACAAATTGACAAGGTTATTGACAAGAAAATTAATGTATATACAAGCATATTAAGCACTCCAAGAGCCGAGACAGCTTCCTGAAACGAGTAAAAGAAAATGATCAGAAAAAGAAGGAAGCCAAAGAGAAAGGTACCTGGGTTCAACTGAGGCACCAGCCTGTTCCGCCCAGAGACGCACTTTGTGGGAACCAATGGAGAGGAGCCTGGGCTACTGGAACCCCTTCCCTGTGAGCTCGTGGTGTGATGAGTAAAAAAATAAAAAATTAAAAAAGATATGTCCTGGAAGGAGGAGAAAAAGGAAGAAGGAAGGAGAAAGGAGGAAGGAGGAAGAGGAAGTAGTAAGAGTAAGAGAAGAGGAATAAAAGAGGAAGAAAAGGAAAGGAAGAAGAGAAGAGGAAGGAAGAAAGGAAAAAAAGAATTGAAAGCCAAGAAACAAGGGAGTATTTACTCAAATGTCCCCGGATTTCCCTCTTGATCAGGCACAACACTGAAAACTGAGTTTGATGCCTGATTAGTGAAGCAAATGAGATTGGGACTAAAATTCCAAGGTCTAACTGTTAAAGGCTCACAAGAATCCTCAGAAATGCTCAATATAACAATCACAATAAATGTGGTATTTTAAAAAAGTTACCTGTTGCATCTTAATCAAAGAGAGGTGTCAAGATACTGTTGCATGTAGTATGTTATGGAATTCTGGGAGCACCCTCGTTGGTCTGACTCTACAAAGTAAAGCAAGATCCAGCCATAGCTGAGTACTAAGTAGATAGTGAAATAGTATTGCCAAATTTGAACATAAGGTAAAAGACTATTAAAAGTACATTAGTGCCACCTTTTGGCCAGATAAAAAATGTACACAAAATACAATGTACAATAATTTTAATTTCACAGAGACCTTGTTAAGAGACACAACTGTTTAATTCAAACATTATGTGAATATATTTAAGACCCTTGCCCTGGCCTGTGTGGCTCCACCATTTCACCATTTTCACCATTGGTTGGAGTGTCACCCTATACACCAAAAGGCTGGAGGTTTGATTCCTGGACAGGGCACATACCTAGGTTGTCGGTTCAGTCCCTGGTTGGGACATGTATGGGAGGCAACCAACCAATGTTTGTTTCCACATTTTAAAAACCTGTCCTGTTCTTTAATATAGCTTTGATTTTTAATAATCCCATTTTTAAAAACTATTTTAAAGGCTGGGATAAAGGATACTATTTACAAATAGAATTTAATTCTAATACTTCTCATACTTGGGAAGAACAGTATTAACTTCAAAGATGATTGAGACAGAAACCCCAAAATTTCTCTTGGCAATCATCACAAAACTTATTTTAAGCTTTTAGACCAAGGTTAGTCAACTGCAGTGCTACTAACATTTTGGGCTGGGCAGTTTTTTGTTGTGGGGGATTATCCTCTGCATTGTGAGATGTTTATCAGTAAACTTGGCCTCTACCCATAAGATGCCAGTAGCAACCTTCCCTCCACCCCCACCCAGTCTGACAACCAAAAACAACTCCATACTGCCAGGTGTCCCCATGGTGAGGGGAAGCACCCTTGGGATGGTTAAGATTTGTGTCAACTTGACCATGGAGCGCACACACACACATACACATTCATTCACTCGCATCCTGTTGGGTTGTTTCTCTGGAGAACCCTAATACATACTGGTTGAGAACTGATGTAGATTATATGACTGGAGGAGAAGCAGTAGGGAGTAAATAGGGAAGGAAAAAAAGAAGCAAAGTGAGAAACTTTGGGGAAATGACTAGATATATTACCTTTCTTTCCAGAGATAGTAGTTGGATTATGGTTGATAAGAACTGGGCTCACTAATACATTTTTGCATCACACATCCAACACGTCACCTGGCACAGAGGTTACTTACCTCAACACAAGGAAGACATTTGGCAGACACTACTGTAAAGCAAGAACACATTCTATAAGCTGAGCTAATAAAACGTTTATGATCCAGTCACATTATTTGTCATGATAAAAATACATGAAATCCAGTTTTCATTCCACACAAAACTTTCTAAAAGAACATTTCTGAAGCAAATTCACAGTATATTAGGTGAAAGAGTTTAACCACACAATGTATTATTGATTTCAGTCTCCCTGTATTTTGCTATATGTTACTTGTATTTCGACGGTTTCTTCAGTTGGCCTTTTTTATTGTACAAGTTTTTGAAATCCTAGTTTCTCTGAAAGTATTTTAAGTTGATATATAACCTAATCTGGCTAAATGGTTTTATTTGGCACAAAATAGAAGAGTTGATGATAGTTAATGTCTATTGCACCGGAGCAACACCTACTAAGTACTAAAGTGTAGCAAGGATACATACAGAAGCACAATGGATTCTTGAAGGTCTTGAAGACAAAAATCACAGTGTGTGATTCCTTGTATTTAAGACATCCAGGTTTGAGATTGTGTAATTGCACCAGTTTTCAAAAAGTCCAACCATACAAACACAGAATTACAGCAGAGAACAATCATTTACATATTTCACTCTAGGAATTTAAAAATTAATTATAATAAAATTCCACAGAGTACATTTAGTTTAAAACATACAAAGTCACAGATACATTATGAAAACTTACCTCAATCACTACAGAAAATGATATTTATCAAGGATATGAGTTACAACATTAAGAATATGCCTGTGCAAATAAACATTACACATATTTTCCAGGTTCTTTTTCCATGATTAATATGTATTTCCTTCAGTTTTAAACAAAGCCTTTCCAATACTATTTTAACAGAGCACAATGAATTGCTATGTTATAATCCTCACTCTATTTCTTTTCCTCATCTTTTTTTTAGATGACCTACATCAAAGAAATAAAAATATTTTCACCATTGCCTTTCTTCCTTTTCCTAGATGTAAACAATATATTTGGAAGAATTTTCAGTAAAGCTGAAATTGGCAAGGTTTTATTTCCAAAAACTCAAAAGAACTAATATTCTTCTTGGTAAAGTCTAAAGAAAAATTCTAATGATTAAACTATAATAGAATAAGAATTCTGTCAACACTGTCTTTTCTATAGTATTTGTAAAGAATAAAAATAAGAATTTTAATACTCTTAAGAATAAGAGTATTAAATAGTATATGACTCCTTCTGGGTTGGAATACTGAAGTTAATAGATTTAGCCATAGAATATATGTAGTTTTCTTTAATTTTTATCAATAACTCTAAAAGCTTAACACAATTTTAATACAAATCCTCACAACAACCCTGTGAGGTAGGGATTGCTTATATTCACTTTACAGATCAGAAGATCAGAGCAAAAAATAATAATCCCAAGAGATGCAATACAAATCAAGACATTTTGGCTATCTTATAAGGCAGACTGAACTTATCAGATACTGATGTGCTAACAAAGACAAATACTGAAATAGTCTGTTTTTCTCCAGGAAACAACTATGTGGAGTATCGGCAAAGAAGGGGGAGTCCTACACTGATCCAAGGGGAAATGTCTGTTTAGTATTTGCGTGATACGCTGATTAAGGTGCATATAGCCTTTCCAGTTTTTAGAGTTTGGTAATAATTATTTAAATTATTCTGTATGGCTAAGGTTATTAGCTCTGTTTTAAAAGCAGATGATTAGTCAAAACTAAAGAGTTCGGCTGGAACAACATTTTTTTTTATACAAAGCAGATTTTCTTAGTGAAAAATTGTATCTTAAAAATATATTCTTAGGGCACAGTGTTAGTCATTACAGTTATTTTAAAAATATGCCTGTTGAACAAATGGAAAAAAACAAAATGGGTCAGACCCCACACCACATTCACTGGTTCTCCAGAGCCCAGCTTTGAGGATTTTTTTCTCTTGATATAAAACAGAGTTAATATTTTGCCATTTCCTAAAACAGAGAGATTATCATGAAGACTAAGGAAAGAACAGTTGCTTTGAATTCCTAACATTAAAAATAAGACTAAAAATACAATTAACCACTATTTTCTCAACACCCAACAAATGTATATATATTTCTACTTTAAATTAATGCTGTCTCTCATGGCCAATTAGCCACAAGCAAACCCTTGCCATTTATCTAGACACCTCCGCCCCGAACCGCTGCCCTGTCCCACAATTCCTTTGTGCCCGTAATCACACCCTTTAGCTACAAACTTCTTGTGTCAAGGACCAATGACTGAGCAAGTAGTAAAGAATAAAGTCAGAAAAATTAAGAGACGTAATAAAAATTAGAAAAATAAAACTTTACTTGAAGATGGCTAGGACATATATCTTGTAGAGCATAAAATACATGAAAATCAACGTTACCATTTGTGTTCATCCTAAGAGATGAAATATTTAAGGGCAGTATGACTTAGAATAATTGCTTAAATGATTTAAGTTTAGGATTAGATGAAGTTCTGACCCCAAAGAGCAACACATTTATTTTAACCAGTCCCAATACAATTGATCCTGTATCCATACCTAGAGTTTGCTCTCAGTGCACACCAATCTTGACCCCAGGAGTTTTACTCACCTGTCTAAGATAGAAATTCTACTGTTTTAGACAATGAATTCCCAATGGTTTTCTTTATTCAACCCTCAAGGAAAACTGACCACTTCATAATTCAGCTGATCTCAATTCACCCAGAGAAAACCTCTGCACCCTTAGAATGAGCTGATTACTCTTTGAGCTCCCTCCTGACTGAACTCTGATGCTGTTCGAGAACTCTGAAGTTGTCAGGAAATGTCCTCAGAATATACAGTCAGGAAGGAGCTTAAAGCGTTTTTATAAGCCACACAAACCAAATTCATCCTACTTATTAAAATGTCTATGAGGCTTAGCATTTAACAGACAGAATACAAAAAAGATGAGGCTGTTTTGAAGCCTCTCTCATTTGCTATTTTAGATACTTAAATATTTCAGAAACAATTTAGATCTATCCTTTGTGATGAGGTTTGATCAGCTATTTACCAGCTACACAGAGCAGGGGAATCTACATTTTGTACATTAATTTTAATGTTTCTGGGGTTTTAGTTTTATGTTTCACCACTATAAAAGAAAGTTCAAAGTTTATTCACAGAGAAAAAGATATCATAGATTTTAAGCACAGTTCTAGGACATTGACTGTATCTACTCTGTTGGTTTTATAGACCATAAAAAGCGAAAACTGTCACTGAAAAATTATTTTTTCAAATGATTGTTAGAAGGTTAATTTTAACTTGGGCAGCCTAGAAAATCCTCTGACATCGAGGGTAAAAAGAGAATACATATTTTAACATTTTCCTTTTTAAACCCATGTAAACCTCCAGTCATGAAAAGAATCTCAAATTGTTCTTAAGGTCTTTAGAAAACACATTAGATGAAGGTAACAACACTGTGGTGTTAAGTTATTGCAGATCTATCTGAATCTCTGTCTTTGTGTGCTCATCCATGTGTATGTATCTTAATGTTACTCTCTTTAGGGGTTTTTTTTTTGGTCTCTTTTCCTTTTCTTTCTTTTGAACTAAAATGTTTTATTAAAAATGAGGTATGCTTACAATGTTAAAAGATAAATAAATGCCATGTAAGATGTTGCAGAGCTAGTTAAGTAAAACATAATTTTAAAACTATTCATGATTTGGTATAGCCACACTTAAAACAAATTTTTTATACATTATAACATACCTATGCATTAAAATAACTACTAATTTCCTACATGGCAGAAGATATTTTTATATAATCTTCATAGGAGCTTATTCCTGTGAAACACTAGTCAAAGGTGAGTCTAAAATGTTGTTTAAAAATATTTCATTTACTTCATATTAATTTGACTTTACTGATTCTACAACCTGGAAGAACTTAAGAAATTATATAATATTTACTCTAAAGTCCCATATTACTACATTGCTTTCTGATTTCTAAGTTGTGAATTGACTTACGAAAAGTTCACAGCCCTAACTGAAGGTTATTTTAACAGCCATGAGTAAATATCTTACTATAAGGAGACCTGATAAATAGGTTAAAACTATGGATAAATGGTAAAGAAAAAAGTCAGTAGAACTCAAGGAGGAATATAATTTATGAATTAAAAAACACGTGAATTTTGTCAAAATTCCTATGAAAATTCTGAAGGAGACTGCTACTCTACTAGGATAGCACCCATGTTTTCTTGTGTGAGCTCTGACTCTAAGGCACAAGATGAGTCTAACTGCTCCTGCGACAAGCGGGAACTTTTCAGGGGGACATCAGACCAGCCATCACAACATGGCTGGAATCTCTGGGCTAATGCATTACCAAACCTTTGGCATCGGTTATGTCTGAAAGATTTACCTTTGTGTGAATACATGTGTTCCAGCAATTGGCTCTTTCGGAGAAATTTATGACCACAGATGGTACAGCTGATTTTTCTTTTTCTTGAAAAAGAAAAATTACAGTTTAACTCTACTGGCTCTGTGTCTTTGGAGATTAAAGACACTTGACTGATCTGCAAAGGCTCTGTGGTCCCACGGTTTGAGTGGTCAGGCTGTTGCTCATTCTCCTTGACAACGAAGGAGCTGAGTCTGTGGCATTCAAGAACCTCACTATTTTCGTTAAGTGGGTGCACTTCACCAAGGTCATTACTTTCTAGAATGGAGGCAGGGACGCCAAATGGGAGTGATCCAGACACGTGGGTATGGAGATGTTGTCTTAGGTTACCACGGGAATCAAAACGTTCTCCACAGTAATGACATAAGTGGATTTTGATACTACTTTCAGTGAAAGTGGGGCCTGTCATCTCTGATGAGGATGAGGAGTGGCCCTGGGAGATCACAGATTCTGGGTCACATCTCTCCTGCTTGATGGACACTGGAGGCTTCTGGTGTTCCTCCAAGGCCTGGGTGGCAGGATGGGCCCTCTGCTGGTCAGCAGTGCCATCATCCAGCCCAATAGCAAGAGAAAGCTGCAACTGAGGGTGTTCACTCTGGACAGCAGCTCTGTTTCCACTGTTACTAGAAGGAGCTTCTTTGACCTCCAGCCCTTGTTTGACAGCTGTTTTTTGGGTTGTTGAGATTTGAATGCCATACAAATTTGAGGACTGCACAGCCTCTGGTGAGAACACTTGATTCATTTCAGTAGCAATGTGAGAAAGGTAGTCGGCGTGAAGAAATCGAATCCCTTCCTCCAAACGGCTATGATCCACAATCTGTTTTGGCCCTTTCCCCGTGTACATAATGTGCAACAAATAGCTGAATATGTCAGGTTGGATGTCGGTTGGTTGTATTTTTATGCATTCACTGTTAAAAACAAAAAATAGGCCCACACAAAATGAAACAACCTGGCTAGCCTTTTAGTTAACAGTATACAATCTTAACCTAAAGCAATTTTTTTCTAATAAGTTCAAACTTAGCAATCTGCCTTAATGAAACACAGCAACCAAAGTTTAAACTTTGATTGTATACCAGTTTTATGGCCCAGCCATAAGTCTTCATGTATCCAATCGATTGCCTAAAGTTAGAAAACACAGATATTCTGATTGGTCCAACATTTATGTAGTGACTCGTAAGTGATACTAGCTGCCAGGGAGCAGAAAAATTATGAAAAAAAGTAGAAATCCTGCTCTTATGGAACTTAACAATCTACTGAGTATAGAGTCAAAAGAACAAAAAGAGACTCAAACACACACCCATACACCAATGTTCAGTACAGCATTATTCATATTAGCCAAAAGGTATTAACAACCCAAGTGTCCATCAACACATGAATAGATACACACAATGTGGCATATACATACAATGAAATATTATTCAGCCATAAAACAGAATAAAGTTCTGACACATGCTGCAACATGGATGAACCTTGAAAATATCATGCTAAGTGAAATAAGCCAGACACAAGAGGACAAGTTTTATATGCCACTTAGAAGAATTATCTAGAATGGGCAAATTCATAGAGATAGAAGGTAGTTTAGAAGTTACTGGGAGCTTGTTGGAGTGGTGGTGGTGGCGGTGGCGGTGGCGGTGGCGGCAGTGAGGAGTTATTACTTAATAGATACAGTTTCTGGGATGATGCAAAATTTTAGAAATAAACAGTGGTGATGGTTGTACAACATTGTGAATATAATTAATGCCACTTAACTGTACAATTAAAAATGGTTGAAATGACAAATTTTATATTATATATATTTTATCACAATAAACATATTAAAAATTTAAGAGTATATTGAAATTGGTAATATTTAGAATTTAAATTATGTTAACCTTATTTTGTATTCCAAACTATATTAACATATCTACTGTTTAAGTCACAAATGAATACAGGGATAACATTGAAAAGCTTTAAAATAAATCCCAAGCCCATTTTTTACATATGAATGTAGAATTCAGATAATAGATGGAAATAACTGTGTAACAAGAAATCAGGAAACACCCTGAAAAATTAGGATAAGGACAATCTGAAGGAAGTGTTGACTGTCAAGGAACAATGGAATCAGGCAATGGGCTTCCCTGAAGCAGAAGTTTCTGTGAATGCATCAGAAGGCACTGAGTGTCAGTATGCTGACAATCCGTTTCTTGAGTGCTATTATCTTGGGATTCTCTCTTGGGTTTCACTCTTAGTTCTGACCCACCTACTTCCACAGTCTGTGGCAGGTGTTTTGTTATATACCAGCACAGAACTCTGTTAACTAAGGATTTTCAGTTGCTCAACAGACTACATAGAAGGCTACCATCTTCACATCTCCTGGATTTGCATTAGCACGGTGCCCATTTAATGTCCCCTACTCTAACCTCTCCACTTTGTGCCACACATTCCAATCATTCTGATCTAGCCTGGTTCGCACCTGCATGTTTCCATGCATGTTTTCTTCTGCCTTCAGTGAATTTTCTTGCATTATTCTACAACATCTGAAAGACAACTCCTGATCGTTCAAGATCCAGAACCTCTGTAATACTTGTTCCAACCTTCTCAAAACAGGGTTGCTGACACTTCACTTTACCTTGTACAACACTTCTACTATAGACTTATCACACTAATTATTAATAATAGCAGCTAACAGTGCAAAGCTTCTGTTCTAAGCTTTTTAATATTATTAATCCTTTTAATCTTCTCAACACCATGGATGGATACACTATTGTAATGTTTCAAAGAGAAGGAAACTGGGACACAGAGTGATCAATTACACTGCAATTATTTTTTTTTACACTACATTATCTCTTTATTAGACTATAAATTTCTTGAGGGTGGGGAGTATAACTTACCTGTTACTGGGGTCTAGTACAGTGCCTGATATGTAAGTGTTCAATCAGTAGCTGAGCCCTGGCTCAGCTGGTGTGGCTCAATGGAGTGAGTGCCTGCTTGTGAACCAAAAGGTCATCAGTTCAATTCCCAGTCAGGACACATGCCTGGGTTGTAGGGCCAGTTCCCCAGTCAGGGGCACGTGAGAGGCAACCACACATTGATGTTTCTCTCCCTCTCTTTCTCCCTCCTTTCCCCTCTCTAAAAGTAAATAAATAAGATCTTTTAAAAAATAGTTGAATGAACAATTTAAAAAATGTGTAATTGGGGCTAGAATCCTAAGTATTTCATGTAAGGTCCTTTAAAAAAACAGTGTTCTATCACTTTCAACCCAGGGTGGATTAAAGCTATTCTTTACCAAGAGCTCAGAATCTGAATACCACTTCCCAGCCCTCCCCCTACATACCTACAATGTTGGGGTAACCTAAATTCAAAAACTTTTGAAAAAATATTTGAAACAAATGATCTTTCAACTGTAATATGAAATATAAGGTGGGTAGAATTATGACACTGAAACCCTGCTATGAAAGTGTTACGGAACAGAAATCAATAACTTAGTGATTATTAGCACAGATCTTTAAAAGCAGAGATCTACATTTGAGTCTAACTAATTAGCTGTATAATCCTAAATAGGCAAGTGATGTAATAACTGAGTCTCAGTTTCCTTTTCTCTAAAATAGTATGGACAATAGTAGAATTTACATCTGGTAAATACTTACTGCTCAGGTATGAGATAAGCCTTCAATACATTTGAACTATTATTTTTTTTATTATGGATACTTCACACTGCATTTAATTACTGATATTTAAATATACACAATTCTTTTTCTTAAGGTGACCCCATAACAAAGAGTTCTTCCAAATGTTGTTATAATAAGGTTTAGATACACCACAATATTAAAACTCTTCTGATTTACAAAAGCACATCCTTACCTTGTTTGATGAATAAATATCATCTTAAAATAGTTAGAAAAAGCAGCAAGCACTGCTCTGTGAGCTTTGAAGTAAACATCTCCAATGGCAACTGTGCAATCACACAGAAAACCAAATTCTCGCTGCATGTTCAGCTGCTGCAGAAGGACAAGGCTATGGCTAGCTGTGTCCATTGTGGTTCTGAGAAAAAGGAAATATAAAGATTTTTTTTTTTTTTTTTTACAAAATTGGCTTTGGTTCACACAAACCTACAGAGTACAAAAAGACCTAAATTTAAATGAAATTATTCAATGATTTTTTAAAATTTTATTTTCAATTACATTTTACATTCCGTATTACTTTGTATTCATTTCAGGTGTACAGCATAGTCATCAACAATTTTCTATACTATTAATTTCACCCCAAACCTAGCTAACATTAACATGTTACAATTAACATGATGACAATACATATCAACTCTGCTGAAACCATAAATATTTATGGCTTTTTTCCATCCATCTGGTAAGAATGTAGCTTGGTTTGAGTGACACAGGGGTAAAAGGAAGGCCTGTCCTTTTTTTTTAAATCTATGCAACCACAATGTATTTAGTCCTCAGTTCCTTCACTGGAAAAATGGGAATGAGGTATTGATCCTTGCCTCAGAACGAAATAAGTTACGTGAAAAGTACCTTCTAATTGAAAGAGCTATTCAAATGTTAGCTATGTTAATAATAGAACAGTGTGTCCTGGCTGGGATAGAGTTGTCACTGCTCCTCAGCGATCCTGTGTGCTTGGGGACACTGGCCTCCTAACTATCATGCAGGGTTTGGGAAATTTATCAGTCACGGGAAGGTCAGAAACCCCTGAAACAGACATCAAGCTACATCCCCTGATTTACATGGGGCCTGAGAGCCACATGAGAAAGAAACTAAACCCTGATCTTAACAGGATTCAGACACATAGAACTGTGGAGAGTCACGAATGGAGAATGCAGGATGGGTGCACTGGTCTCAGGAGGAAAAAAATCATGCATGAGGAAGAACATGCAAAAGAATTCTGGCAGAGAAATCTAGCATGTGTACAAGGACATTCAGGAGTGCTGTGGTTTCAGAGAGCTGGGAGGCCGTGCTTCACCACCATCTCCACCCCAACTGTGCACACTGCAGAGCACCCTGGAGCTTTGGCACAGAGGGTATCACTGAGGAGTGGGAGAACCTCCTCCAAAAAAGCAGATCCTAAAAAGAGAATGAAGCTTCCTTACTTGCGAGAGACCAAAGGGTAAGGAAGTCAATGATTAGAGTGTGGAGTTAGCAGTCTGGACATTGGCAGCCACTTTGGCTGCAGAGAGCTGAGTGATTGATAATATAATAAAAATAGCTAACGCTATATAGAGCTTCCTATGTGTCAAGCAATTTTTACTCATTTCTCAGTACAACTCTATGTGAAAGGGACTACTCAATGAATCTTACAAATAAAACTATATCAGCAAAAAGTTAATTTACCCAAGGTCAAATTGCTAGTAAGGGGCAGAGCAGGGGATTCAAACTCAGGCACTAGATTCCAGGACTCAAATGTCCTCTCTCTCTGCCTCCAGGGAACACAACACACAAGCTGAAGGAGTCAAGGGAACTGTCTGGATTACATGTCAACATGCTCCAGGAAGCCTCAGGAACATGTGGAGTAAAATGTTTGCTTCTAGGAGGTAAACTGGGGAGCAGGAGTTAAGGATGGGGGGAAATGCACTGTTTTAAACTTGAAAAAAAACCCTCTTTTATGGGAGCTTTCTGTCATAAATACATACACCTACATGCGTTCTCTTTCCCCTCATTTTTAAAAATTGTATTTCTGAAAGGTATAGGGAATAATGTAACAAACACTCACCCATCTACCCTAAGCACAGAAAGTAAACATTGCAAACATAGTAGAAACCCTTGTCATCTCCCCCTCATTCTATGCCCTCAACCACCTCGCCGCCAAAGGTAACAGCCATCCTGAATTTGGTGTTTATTGACTCTCTTATATATTGTCACAATATTACAGCATATGTATATATTTCTTAAGAAGGTATGGTACTGTTTTGCATGTTTTAAATTTTTATATAAATAATATTGTACTTTAGGAATCGCACAACTTGCTTAATTCTACATTCACTACTTTCAAAAATCCTACTTTCTCAAAATATAATTTTTCCCCATACCTCCCCAAATTAAAAAAACCTCTTACCCCTTACATTCTCCTTTTAAAAGACATTAAGTAGCAATGAAATGAGAAATAACAAGATAACCTACAGAGACCTGAGCCTACTGCTAAGAATATAAACAAAATCCAATTGTGGGTATTGTTCCAAAAGGCCATTAAACAAAAAGAGACTATTTATTATGTTAACCACATAGTTCTGATTCTAAAACACCCAATTTATAGGGAGATTTTTAAAAAATTGAACAAAATAATACTCTATATTGGAGATTTCAGTATGTGAAAAACATGCATCTTAGAATCAATGAAATGGTCAAGTTGAAATGACTTAAACTAGCCTTACAAATTGTCTCCAGCCCTGACTGTTGTGGCTCAGTGGATTGAGTGCCAGTCTTCAGGCCAAAGGGTCACTGGTTTGATTCCCATTCAGGGCACATGCCTGGGCTGTGGGCCAGGTCCCTAGTGAAGGGCATGCAAGAGGCAACCACACATTGGTGTTTCTTCTCCCTCTTTCCCCCTCTCTTCCCCTATTCTCTAAAAATAAATAAAATCTTTTTAAAAATTGCCTCCAAAAACCCCCCTCAGAACGTAAACATTTTCACCAATTCTTTATATATCTGTGTGTGGGTGTGTGTGTATATATAGTACATTAATATAATGAACTATTGAACCATGTGAAAATGAAAGTAGCGTACTAAAAAGCTACGTATTAAAAAAAAATCTTATGGTTAATGGTCTATGAGTAAGTTAAATTTACTTATTGAAAAACTATTGAAGAGAAATTTAATAAAGAAAAATATTTGAAAGCATGGATTACACAAGACATAAGGATAGGAAAACATTACATAGATGCTGCAATCAAGATTACAGGCTAATAGGGGAGATACAACAGTAATTACAACATGAAGTGACAAGTGCCATAGAGCAGTTTGGAGAACATGTTATGTGAGGGGGAGAAAAACAACACGTGACCCAGTGGAAAATAAGCCATTTGAACCTAATTTAGATGAATAGGCAGGAGAACATAGCATTGCAGGCAGAAAAAACAGAATGAGTAAAATAACAGGGAGTGGTATAAATATACAGATAACTGAAGAATTCAGTTTGGCACAGAAGAGATGGGGTTAGCTCACAGAAGGTGCTGAACATGAAACTAAAAGGTACTCCAGTGGTGTCTGAAATAGAGAACTATATTAAGATGTTTTCTGTGAGAAAGAATAATGTAGTAGTTAATGCTTAACCTCTGGAATCAGACAACTTGGATTAAAATTCCAGCTCTGCCACATAGCTGCATGGTCTTCACAAGACACAACTCTCTGGGCTTCAGTTTCACTTATAAAATATAAGTAATTCAAGTATCTACCTGACAAGTTGTTATATAGATTTAATAAGACGATGCATATAAGCACTTAGAAATAGTGGGCACATACATTAAGTCTTCAATAAATAGCAGTTGTCACCTTCATCATCATCATTAGGCCTCTGAATCAAGACTGGTCGGTCTAGTGGCAATATGTAAAAAAAGATTAGGGGAAAGGTATGGAGAAATAAAGACCAGCAAGGAGACTACTGCAATATCCAAGCAATGGTACAAATGAAGACAGGAATATAAGATATAACAGATGAAGAACCTACATGACTTGGCAGGCAGGCTGGATGTGATCAGCCACAGAGATCAAGTCAAAGGTAAATCTCAGAATTCCAGCTTGGGTAATTGGAAGAATTTGTTGATTCCTTCAGGTCATATTTGCACAGTAGGTGCCATGTGCTGGGTTTGACATAAAAAGGCAGGGGGTCAGAATACCCAAGAAGAGGCATAGAAACTGGCTTGAGAAGAGACAAGTTTCACTTTGGACACATTGAGTTCAAGGTGTTCACTCTTAAGGTATCTGAGTGTCAATGTTTAGTGATCAACAAAGAGAAAATAAGCTAGTCTGGGGCTCTAGAGAGAGCAGGGCTGGAGCGGGAGAGGAGGTCCTCTGGAATGACAAGGCTGGTATCACCAGGAGTGAATGGGACTATTGAGTAAAATAATAAAAGAAAAGCTAAGAATAAATCCTTGAACACAGAAGAGACACAATAAGAGGGATAGGAGAAATAAGAAAATATACCATCATTGAGCAAAGGGAGGTGAAGGAAAGTTGAAAACTTTGGCAAGAGGAGGTGTCAACGGTGGAAAATGCTGCAGAGAAACATGTGGATGAGGCCTATTACAGCACCCCCAAACGTGTAACCAAGAGATTTCTGGTGACTTCCAAGAACAGTATGGGAAAACAGCAAGAGCAAAGTATCTGACTACAGGTAAGATGTCAGAAAGCACCCATAAGGGGAGGTACAAATAGGACAGCACGTTGAGGATGCTACAGATTTGAACACAGCGTTCAGGCTAAAGAGTGGAACTTTTAGAAGCCAGAAGGAATGCAATCAGAAATATAAGCATAGTTGGGCTGGTATGGCTCAGTGGATTGAGTGCTGGCCTGTGAAACAAAGGGTCACTGGTTCAATTCCCAGTCAGGGCACATGCCTGGGTTGCAGGCCAGGTCCCCAGTTGGGGGTGCGCGAAAGGCAACCACACATTGATGTTTCTCTCCCTCTTTCCCTAAAAATGAAATAAGTAAAAAAAAAATTAAGAAACACAAGCATAGCAGCTAGCCAAGGAAAAGAGAGATTTCTTTTTCTGACACTGGAAAGGAAGTGGATGACCCAATGATAGAGAATTCAAGAGTATCCTTTCAGATAGCATTGATTTACAAATTAGAAGTTGGTCCATATGTAGAGGGAAGAGATGAGTTTAGGCCTTGAAAGAAACCTAGAGCAATAATCCCTGATGCCAACATAGAGCACTGAAATTTGGAGAAAGCTTTCACATATACTTCTGCTTTAGATAATTTCTATTAATTTGTCTTCAAGTTCATGGACTTCATCATTTCTAATATACTAAACCCATTTGGCGAATTTTTTAATCGCAGATAGTATTTTTTCAGGTTGAAATGTTCATCTTATTC